CACACACACACACACACACACACACACACACACACACACACACACACACACACACACACTCAGTTTTAGGTATGTTTGTTTTTCCTCTTTAACTTATTGTTTCTAAGTACTTTTTGTGTCTCTAGCCGAGCACCCTCTAGCAGTGCTAAACAGTCGGTGGTTCCTCGTTTGGAGTGCCAACTGCACTCTTAGGGGGCCCGCTCGGTTCGGGATGTCTGTGTTGCCTGTCGGTGATGACGGATGGTCGTCGGAGTGTCCCCCTGGCTCAGCGGGTGGTGGGAACCAACAGTCTGCCGGGTTCTATCGTGATGTGAGTAGGTCATGTGCTGCTTTGCTCCGTGTTGGATGTGTAGACTGTCTTGTCTGCGCTCTGCCGCGGTCTTGCTGCCCATGCCGCTTGCTTTGCAGGTTGTCCTCGCTGCTCTGCTGCCTTGCCGCCTACCCGCGGGTCGTGCCTCCCGTGTCTTTTGCTCCCGTGCCTTGTGGCGGTGCCTCCCGCTTCGCTGCACGGTTGCTGAGCTGCTTGTCCATGTGCCCTGTCGGCCTTCAGTGTCCTTTGCGTGCATGCCTTGTACTTTGGTTGCCTTGTTGGTGGTGCCTTGTGCTTCACTGCACGGTTACCGAGCTGCTCGTCTGCTTGCCCTGTTGGCCTTCCGCGTCCTTTACTTGCTTGCGTGTGTACCATGGTTTCCATGGGGTACATGGTGAGTACACCATGAGATATATTAAATACACACACACACACGCACACACACACACACACACAACCTTGCATCTTCTATTATAATGCCCTTTCTTTTGTTTATGGATAGTTTGTGATGATACGAGAGAGAGAGAGAGAGAGAGAGAGAGAGAGAGAGAGAGAGAGAGAGAGAGAGAGAGAGAGAGAGAGAGAGAGAGAGAGAGAGAGAGTTTGGGGATTTTGACAGCACACACACACAATATGCTTGCCAGCCGTCTGCATGTTTTTTTTCTGAGTGCATACTCACAGTAGCACTTTTCCGCAAAATTCCGGGATGTATATGATCGCTTTTCCGACCTGGCCAAGATGCACCTAACCGCCATCACGTCCACAGAGAAGTGGAAAAACTCCCTAGTGCAAGTACGCCCTCACACTACTACCTTAGTGGCCAAAACACAACCACCGGTCATTATAGCTGTGTATTTAGGGCACCCTTCAGGTCAGATACAGAGATAATGACGGGGCTAAAATTGTGTTCAGGGGAACAAGTTAGTTTGCACTTTGTTGGATGTATCTGACCACATTGGTGCTCACGACTGGCCATGGATTTTTTTTTTTTTCCCATCTTCAAGTTGCGAGTTGCATTTAAAAAAATGCCCTAATTTTCTTCTTTCAATGAATATGGCCATGTTGTATCTCACCTGTTTTCCAGGCACATCAATTCTATCATGCAGTTAAACAGGGAGGGCAGCCTTTCCTGACGGCCGCAGACGTCAGACGCTTCATGAGGATCAACCGCGGAGATCGATCAGACGAGTATGCAGCGGTGCTGATCGATGCCATGGACACTTTCTTTGGAAGGGGAACATGTATCTCTGGAAGACTTCACATCATTTCTTCTACAACTTGCACAAGACCACGACAAAAAGTTCAAAAAACACTAGAAGTCTACTAGAAGAAATACTTTTCGTTTCTTTTCGAATCTTTCAGGTTATATATATCGTCACAAATAGAACTGCCCGGTAAACCGTAGGCAGAGAGAGAGAAGAGGACAACAAACGAGACCTTTCTTTCGGTTTTCCCACTTCCCCTCCCTCCCCTTTTTCACGTGCAAATGCTTTTTTTTTTTTTTTTGTCTGTTCTTTTTCTAATTCCTTTCCCATTTTGATCTTTTTGAAGTTTGAACCATTTTCTTTTTGTTTCTCCTTCTGTTTTCCCTCTCCCATTATGATCTTTTAAACCACCACTACCCCCGACGTTCAAAAGCCAGGGGGACCGGTAGGCCAATTTTCACAATATTTCAATAAAATTGGATTGTTTGGATTTTGGTCTATGATGGTCTTTTTATTGATTTTAACTATTGGTTTTGTTTATGAATGGAAGAAGGGCGCTTTAGATTGGGAATAACACATTTGGGTAATTAGCTCAGTTGGTAGAGAGCCAGGGGTTCAAGTCTGTTATTACCCAGATGGGAAAATAGCTTAGTTGGTTAGAGTGCTGGCCTGCCACGCCAGAAGTCGCGGGTTCAAATCCCGTTTTTCCCGGGAGGTATGGCTGAGTGGCTGAAGGCATTGGTTGACTGTTGGCCTACCGGTAGTACAGTGTGGGGCGCGTTTAATTGTTGCAAAAACAAACACACACACACACACACACACACACACACACACACACACACACACACACACACACACACACACACACACACACACACAGAGGACAGGACCTAGGGGAAAGCCATGAAGGTGGTGTGCTCACACAAATGCTTCCGGGAATGTATCTGCCCACAATCATTGCTAGTTTCGTTTTTCATTTTTTTGTGTTTTGTTTTTCTCGTCTGCGAACCAAAGCACAGTTGAAAGGGAAGGACGTCGGGGAAAGCCACCAAGGTGGCGTGCTCACAGAAGTGCTTCTAGGAATGCACCTGCCCCAAATCATAGCTAGTTCCTTTTTTTTTTTTTTTTTCAATTTTTGTGTTTTTTTTTTTTTTTTTTTTTTTCCTTCGAATCTAGCTGTATGTAGTGTCCTGCCAACTAGAGGCAGGGCGCTTTCCACGGACAGCTGACACGCACTTTCCATGGACAACTGACTCTCACGTATACTCAAAAATGAAAAAAACAACAACAAAAGCAACCACTCTTTGGTCCTAAAAGCAGCTGACATAAGTTGATTTGTGAGAAAAAAAAAAAAAAAAAAAAAAAAAAAAAAAAAAAAAAAAAAAAAAAAAAAAAAAAAAAAAAAAAAAAAAAAAGCACCTGACATGCACTTTCCACGTATCCAGCTGCTTCTAGGCCGAAAGAGTCGTTGCTTTTGTTGTATTGTTTTTCGTTTTTCTTTTAAAATTTTTGTACTGCCGTGTTTGACTGATTGTTGTAGCCCTCCCGTTCTGTTTTTCTTTTGTACTGGCATTTGATTGTTGGCGTGATTTACCGATTTGATATTCTCCACACGTACTGAAAAAAAAAGGAAAAAGAAAACCAACCACCAACGGACTTTTTCTTTTTCTTTTGTCTTCGTTTTTTCCCCTCTCTGGCAAGTGGTCGCCGACCCGCCTCCATTTCCGGCCCTAACTCCCTGGAAAGCCGACTTTAGGTTGTCGGGGGGAGTGGTGGCTTAACAGCACAGCGCACATCACCTCACTGATCAAGAGATTCCCAGCTCTTAAAAGGAAGAAAAAAAAGGTGTGGAAGGTGAAGGGGAGGAGGAGGGGGAGGGGGAGGGGGGGGGGGAGGGGGAGGGAAAAGGGAGGGGTAATGGAGGGAAGAGAGGGTGAGCAACCTCACACCACCAGTAGCGGGTCCATAGGGCATGTCAGATTGGATTGGTGAAGGCTGGATCTGGTATACCACAAACCATTTTGTCGAGCAGATGGCCTCGCCGCATCACTCACCAAATGCACAAAAAACAAAATTTATGACGATGCATCTCTCCACGTTCTACGTGAAGGTTCACCCTCCCTTTGCAGATTCGGTGAGCGGTGCGGCGAGGCCCATAGAGTACTGCAATTGGCTTTTTGCTTGTCGTGTCATCACCTGGAGCTTGTCAAGCCACTGAGGTACACACCATTACAACAGCACTCGCCTCGCGCGCGAGAGCTCGCATTGCGCATGTCCTGGAGGCTGGAACCCTGCATGTAGTTGGGCTAACAACTTAACATTATGTGCACATATTAGCCCAACTTAACATTACGTGCACATATCATTGCGCATGTCTCGGAACCCTACATATTAGTGCTAACACACACTTGTGGCCCCGATAGATATGTTGCATTAGACCCCCTTTAAATTTGAAGTAAGGCTAGGGTTCTGATTTGTATATTCTGCAAAATACAAAGAAAAATGAAACAGTTTGTGAAGGCGTTTGCGCCTGTGGCACGCGCTGTGTGCAACATTCCCACACCCACCCAACCCCTCCAGTTCAGTCAGTAGACTCAGTACTGGTAACCAAAGAGAACAGGTAGGCTGCTAAGGCTGGAAAATGGGCCCTGTGCGACTCGACCAGACAATTTCTTCCACTTATTCTGGGTTGATCTTTTTTTTTTTTTAGGTCGTTATGGTCCTGGCTCCATTATCAGTTCCATTCAGAGGAAGGGGGGAGGAAGAAGAGGGGGGGGGGGGGGGAGGAGGGGAGCCTCAGTCCGGTTGCTTTTCGATCGACAAGTCAAAACTTTTACAAAGCATACACACTTACACATCCTTCCGTTCGGGTGGGGGACCCCTGAAAACAGTGAAAAGTGTATTGATTACTCCACATCTGGAGGATCGACTGTGAGCCTGCCATTTTTGGCTTGATTTGAAGTTCATCATACTGAATGAAAATTACAGGAATATACAATGCCCCATCCTCCTAATTTCTATCTAATCCCAGTCAATCTTGGGCAGATTATAAACTGTGCATCCCTACTTTGCATGAATTACTCTAAGATTTATTTATTATTTATTGTGACTGAAAGGACCAAACAATCCTCTGTCAAGTTGTGTAAAGTTATAACCCCCTAAACCTGATACCCCCTTAATCCTAAACCCTAAACCCTGAATCCTAAAACCCTGCATATCCCTAAAGGGCCTAAACACTACCCCCCTAAATCCTGCAAACATAAAATCTGAACCCTAAGCCCTCCAATCATAAATCCTAAACACTACCCCCCTAAACCCTGCAACCATAAAATCTGAGCCCTAATCCCTGCAATCATAAATCCTAAACCCTAAACCCTAAGCCCTGAGGGCTAAATCCTAAGCCCTGCAACTCTAAACGATAAGCCTTAAAACCCTAACCCCTAAACCCTAAACGTTAAACCCTGAAATCTAAATCCTGCGAACCTAAGCGTTAAACCTTAAACCTTGAACCCGAAAACCTTAAACCCGAAAACCTTAAACCCGAAAACCTTAAACCCTAAACCTTAAACCCTAAAACCTTAAACCCTAAAACCTTAAACCCTAAACTCTGCAACCCTAAACTCTAGAGTCTAAACCATATAGTGTGTTCTTTAAGCTATGGATAAGTAAGTGGCTTTGGAATACACCCCTCAATGCCCTCATTGCACGCCTGCCAAGCACAGGGATAGCAGCCAACTGACAAGACTGACCAACTGCAAGGCTATACATCTACTGAAGCCATCTCCACTTAACTACCTATACACATGCAACAGCTCCAGGTACCAATATGCTGCTCCATTTCTGATACACAATCTGGCATTTTACACTCGTGTCCCTGCTCGACACACAACAAGATGGTGGCCACAACAACACACTCTGTTTGGAAAATCTCTCTCTCTCTCTCTCTCTCTCTCTCTCTCTCTCTCTCTCTCTCTCTCTCTCTGTGTGTGTGTGTGTGTGTGTGTGTGTGTGTGTGTGTGTGTGTGTGTGTGTGTGTGTGTGTGTGTGTGTGTGTGTGTGTGTGTGTGTGTGTGTGTGTGTGTGCTTGTATAATTTCTGCTCACTGAAATGCTTTTCTATTCGTGCACAAGAGAGGGGTGGAAATGGGGTCTGGATAGAGGCTCAAAACAAATGGACGCTCACGGTGGAACCAGACGGCTTATCTGCAGCTGTACGTGTGTGTTGCGTACCAAAGCGCCGGTACATCCTGACGATCCGCCGGCTAAGCAGCGGGCAGCCGAGCTTTGGATGAGCGTGCCCGCCTGCACCAGATTAAATTAATTTAGGATCGAAGAACTCTCAAAGACATCCACACAGAAAGGTGTCGTGCACTGGTGGTTTAACCAGCCAGCCAGGACGGACCTGGTGCAGCTCAATGAACTGCACTTGCCTGACATGGACCTGGTACAGCTCAATGGTTTAGAGTTTAGAGTTGCAGGGTTTAGGGATCTGCACCAGGTTTAACCAGCTCAATGAGCTGTCCACAGAAGGGTGTCATGCACTGTACCAGGTTTAACCAGCCAGCCCAGGATGACCAGGCTGCCGTCCTGGCTGGCCGTTAAACCCGGTTTAACCAGCTGACTGGCTGTTAAACCTGGTTTAACCAGGGGCTGGCTATTAAACCTGGTTTAACCAGCACGGACGTACAGCTCAATCATTAACCAACTCCTGAGCTGGCACAGCTCAATGAACTGCACTTGCCTGACACCCCAGCAATATTTCCGATGCCGAAAAGGAATTCGATCGATACCGTGCATGTTACACCGCCGCCCGATAACGTGCAATTACAGCGCCGACTCCCCAACCACGCACGAATTGTAATCACATCTGCTGTTTGCAACTTTGCAACGAATTGCACTGCACGTCAATAAATGTACGGAAAGATCCGCCACGGAACCGCAGCGCAATACTCCTCCCAGACGTCTTTGTACTTGGCTTGGCACTTCTTTTCGTCGCGCAGATCCCTTGAAATCAGGAGAATGAAGAGATAGATTGGGTACATATACGGAATTATAGAGCTGCAAATCCATATCACATTAACCACAGCGAAACCACAGGGATTATTACTAGTACAAACTAGTAGAAAGTTACTAGAAAGTCGCTAGAAAGTTAGTAGAAAGTTAGTAGAAAGTTAGTAGAAAGTTAGTAGAAATTTACTAGAAAGTTAGTACGAACCCGTGGTCAGAAAAATAAATGAAATCTTGGTGAGCACCGAGCAGCACTGAATATGCAGAAATGACACAAAACGACAATAACAATTGAGAGGATAAGAAGTTGTTAAGTAACTCGCACAAGTGGCTCTTCAGGACATCCCTTCAAATACATAATTTAACATATAATATAATAAAATTTAATAAAAATTATTAATTATAAATAATAAATAAATAAGTAACTTGTTAAAGAAACAAGAGATGGATGGTAGACCTCGGTAAACATTTTTATAGGGTAATTTAATGTCAGCACGCCCTTCCCCATTCTCTCTCCCCCCCATCCTGTTTCTGACCAGACCAGTTTAGAATTTTAAATTTAAATGCTAAAAATAATAAAAAAAAGAAAATACCCAAAATAAATTACTAATAAACTCCTAGTAATCCATGACTTTCTGAGTTTTACTATTAATCATGGCTACGCCGGACCCGGAACCGGACATGGGGGATCCGGACGGTCCGGAAGTCTGGACATTTCCGGACGGTCCGGAATTCCGGACATTTCCGGACCTCCGGACATGGGGGATCCGGACGGTCCGGAAGTCTGGACAGGTCCGGAAATGTCCGGACCATTAAAAAAAAAAAAAAAAAAATCCGAAAAAAAAGTACGTTATGCAGAATAACAATGCAAACCACTTTTGCCTCACAGTCATGTCAGAATTCCTAACCAAACTTGAGTTAAAAGTCAAAAACTATAAAAAAGCTTAAAAAGAGACTTTATAAACTAATAAAAGGTAATGAATTATTAATAATTAAAAAATTGGGGTGTCTAATAAATTACTATAGAGAGAGAGCATGTCCGGACCCCCCAAAAAGCATAAACGGGCCTGAAAAACCCCCAAAACAATTTTGGGGGGCTTGGCTCCTCAATGGGGAAGGGTCCTGGACCTTTTTTTTTTTTCTCGAAATTTGCCAGTTCTGGACCTTCCAGACCGGACGTCTGGATTCCGGACTGAATCCAGACCGTACGGACGACGGTCCGGACTTCCGGATCGTAGCCATGTTATTAATTATGTTGCAACTTTCAACAGTTTCAACTTTTTAAAGTTAAAAAAATTTAACTCTTAAAGTTCTGTAACAAAAAGAGTAAAAAAAAAAAACAAATGTTGCACAGCTCAACTCTGTCCATGATTACGTGAAAACATTGAAAAGGGAAAAAAAAAAAAAAAAGCAAAAGGATATACCCGAAAAAAAAAAGAAAGAATGCCATGGTGTTGTTTAACTCATTCTTAGTTCACCAAACACTTCGAAAATTTTGTACCCCCCTCAAAATTTAATTCATAAAAATTGACCCACTTTCCTTTACTTAAAAAACAATAAATAGTAATAGACTAATAGTGTTATTTCAACTTATTTGAATGTTGAACTTCATTTCCCATTTCCTTTACTTCCTTTTTTTTTTTTTAATAATACAAAGAAGACGTAGATATACTCATATAGCCGTGAACCGGGCCGGCGTCCCTCAGACATCATTTGCTGCGGCCAAACCTATCCGAACCACAGCCCAAATCAACAATCACAAACAAATCCCCAGGTTTCAACTCTATACCCTAATTAGCGGTAATTGATGCCTTTAACCCTAAAGCAAAGGAGCAAACCAGCGTAAACTATTCCCTTCTCAGTCCATGAATCAAACAAATAGGGAAAAAAAAGAAAGATGGAATCAAGTTTTAAATTTTATTTTTTTTCCACAACTTTTCGGCCCTGTTCCAACCCCACCATGTTTTAGTATCTGCTCCTTTTTTTTTTTCTGTGCAGGGTGACTCAGTGAGCACGGGAAAAGAAAGAAGATATTGAAATAAAAATTGAATTTAAATGAATAATAGTTTAATAAGCTACCAGAGTGGCCCGGGGGAACTGGCCCGGCTGGGCCCTATATATATATATACACACAGGGTTACCAGCCCGTACGTACGGCGGCTCCCGGGCGGACCTCAGTACGTTCGGGTGTTCAGGCTGCCGTTCGGGGTGAAGGGGCTTGGACCCCGCCACAAATTATCTCCGTGCCTAAAAATACATATTTTTTTTTTCTGAAGTTTTTTTTCGTGAGTTCTCTATGATGTGGGGTACATGCCTATAAATTTTGAAGTCATTTTGCTAGGCCAAAACAAAATTACAAATCTCCAAAGATGGAGATGTCAAAACCTGCTCGCCTGCTCACTATTTTGTTTTTTTCACTTTTTACTTGTTGTTTTCACTTGATTTGGGGCCTAAACATTTTTTTTTTTTTTTGAAACTTTTTGCATGAGTTTTGTATTATGTGAAGTACACATCTGTAAATTTGCAGTGCATTTCGCTATAGGGGAAAAAAATGAAAAATCGCCAAAGATAGCAGTGTCGAAAACGGGCTTGCTCACTCACTAATTTTAATTCTCTAATTTCTTTTTTTATTTTTTTATTTTTTTCTTATTTTTTTATTAGTATTATTTTCCGTATTCTATTTTTATTTCAAATTTGGTAAGGAATTTGGATGTAATGCTCAGGCAAATGTTGTTTATTTTATTTTTCTGCATAACATACGTTTTTTTTTTCAGTTTTGTTTGATTTTTTTTTTTTTTTTTTTTTTTTTTGTCGCACGCCCGAACGGCCGAACGCATCCCCAGGGGGTCCCGTACATTCGGGCGTTCGGCCCGTCCCGAATGCCGACCACCCTGTATATATATCGTCACAAATAGATATATATATCGTCACAAACAGAACTTCCCGGTAAACCGTAGGCAGAGAGAGAGAAGAGGACAACAAACGAGGGGCTGTGATATATATTGTCACAAAGTTATCAGAGCGCCAAAGCGAAAAAAAAAAGAAAAAAAACTAGGCTAACAGAGTGGCCCGGGGTGGCCCGGGGTCACTTGCCCGGCCGGGCCAATAAATAAATAAATAAATATTTTTGAAATTTATTCTTCATTTTAAATTTGGTGAAGAACTTCGTTGTAACCCTGAGGCAAAAGTTGTTCAGTTTATTTTTCTGCATAACATAGTTTTTTTTTGGATCTTTTGGAAGTTTTTTTTTTTTTTTTTTTTTGCTGGGACCTTCCTTGGTCCTTGCACGAGCTGGCCACCCGGAACCCGGGCGGCCCGGCTGGTAGCCTAGAAAAAAAAAGAAAGACAAAGAAAAAAAAGAAAAAAAAATAAAAAAAATAAAAAAGAACACAATAACAACAAAACAACAACAACAACAAAAGGAAACAATATATACATATTTTTAATCTTTTTTTTTTTTTAATTGGTAAAGAATTTCGACGTGACACTGAGGATAACGTCGTTCAATGTTCACTTTATTTTTGTGCATCACACTGCTCACAGTGATCACATAGTTTTTTTTTCAGACTTTTTCTAGGCTGCCAGAGTGGTCCGGGACAACCTGCCCCGCCGGGGCTAATAAAAAATAAAAATAAAAATAAATAATAAAAAAACAGTTTTTAACTTTATTTTCTATATTTTATTTGGCAAAGAATTTCGATGTGACCCTGAGGCAAAAGTCGTTTACTAACTTAACTTTATTTTTCTGCATAACATAGTGCATTGAGCCTCACTGCTCGTCACCTTGAGCACACACACACACACACACACACACACACACAATGAGAGATCAGAGATGCCAAGTCCAGATATGCGGAGCTACAGCGCTGGGTTCAGCAACCCAATACCAGCATCCTCATCTAAGGTAGGTGACTCTCTTCTCTCTCCTCTCTGTCCCTCTTCTCTGTCCCACTTCTCTCTCTCTCTCTCTCTCTCTCTCTCTCTCTCTCTCTCTCTCTCTACTTCGAGATCTTGACTCTGAATACATCCGCTGCTACTCAGCTCTATCCCCTATCGCGCTAGCTGCGCGGCTATGGCCGCCTTCCCTTCTCCCCGCACAGCGCTGCCCCTCGTGGGCTCCAGTGCTAGCTACCTGCAGACAGCGCACAAGTGCCAGCAGCAGTTCCACACTTCTGGCGAATGAGCCATCTGTCCAAAATTTGGTAGGGCAGTCCTTATATTGACTTGGACTGAGCCCACGAGGCCTTGGACTCGTCCCACCCTCTGCTTCCTTTGGCTTGACTTGGGCCCGGTACCACATAATGCCCACGGCCTGGTTGCTTCAGAATGTCGAGGCCTGGTACCTCCCCTAATGTCCCTTGGTGTGGTGGTGCTTGGGCCCGTGAGTCACAAGTTTCAGATGTGGGACGCGACTCTCTACCCATGAGACATGACCTTTGCCTGTAGATTGTGCCTTTTGATTTCGAGATGTGACTCTTGCCTGTGGGACACGACTTTTGCCTGGGGAAGTGTCCTTTGCCTGCGCTGTGGGATGTCACCTTTTATCGTGAGACGTGACTTCTGCATTTGGAATGCAACCTTTGGCCCTGGGGTGTGACCGCTGACCGGGTGCCTGTTGGACTCGGCCTCTGGCCCTCTGGGGGAACCCGACTCAGCCTTCCTGGAACTGGCCGACTTCGCCTCCTTTAGCCTGGGAACTTGGCCCTGAGATTCGAATTTGCGGTCTGCATCGTGGAATGCCTTTCAACAGTTTTTTTTCAGATTTTTGATCATTTTTCTCGATTTTTTTTTTTTTTTTTTTTTTTTT